CTTTGAGGGGACATCTCCTATCCAAATCATAATAGTCCCCAACACAGCAATGTCCTGAGGTGGAGTTTTGGAAAGTGCTTGAATCATGAAAGTGCTAATCTCATTAGTAGATTAATCCATTGGAAAATGAAATCAGTTGAACACTTTTTCCTGTGTTTGCTGGTCGATTGTATATCTTCCTCTGAGAACTGTCTGTAGCAATAATAAGCATTGGCAAAGATGTGGGGAAAAGGCACACTCATACATTGCTGGTGGGACTACAAATTGGTGCAACCACTCTGGAGAGCAGTGTGGAGATTCCTTAGGAAACTTGGAATGGAACCACCATTTGACCCAGCTATCCCACTCCTCAGTCTTTTCCCAAAGGACTTAAAATCAGCATGCTATAGTGATGCAGCCACATCAATGTTTATAGCAGCTCAATTCACGATAGCTAAACTGTGGAACCAACCTAGATGCCCTTCAATAGATAAATGGATTTAAAAAAAAAACTGTGGTATATATGCACAATGGAATATTATTCAGCATTAAAAGAGAATAAAATTATGGCATTTGCAGGCAAATGGATGGAGTTGGAGAATATCATGCTAAGTGAATTAAGCCATTCCCCCCCCAAAAAAAAACAAAGGCAGAAAGTTCTCTCTGATTAGTGGATGCTGGTCTATAATTGGGGGAGCATGGGGAGAATGGAGGAACTTTGATTGGGCAAAGACGAGTCAGAGGAAGTGGGTAGTCATGGGGGCAGGAAAGATGGTGGAATGAGATGGACATAATTACCCTCAGTACATGTATGACTGCACATATGGTGTGACTATACATCGTGTACAAACAAAGAAATGAAAAGTTGTGCTCCATTTGTATATGAATCAAAATGCATTCTGCTGTCATATATACTTATTAGAACAAATTAAAAACTGACTGAATATTATCATTACAAAGAAAAATGAAATCAGTATCCCAAAGAGAGATCTTTGTACCCATGTTCATTGAATAGTCAAAATATGGAAACAACTCAAATGTCTGTTGACAGATGAATGGATAAATAATGGTACATATATAAATGGACTATTACTAAACCTTAAAAATAGAAGGAAATCCTGTCATTTGTATATTGAGGGTGAACCTAGAAGACACGATAAGTGAAATAAGCCAAGCAGAGAAAGGTAAAAATGCCACATGATCTCACTTATAAGTGGAATTCACCAAAGTCAAATTCATGAAACAGAGACTAGAAGGATGATCACCAGGGATTGGGTGAGGGAAATGGGGAGAGGTTGTCTAAAGGATACAAACTTGTAGTTATCAGATGAATAGGTTCTAGACATCTAATGTGCAGCATGAAGACTGTGGTTAAAATATATGGAATACATTCTTGAAATTTGCTAAGAGAGTAGATCTCTACCATTCTTGTCACACAAAAAGGGCAACTAAGCCATTGTGGTGGTGCATGCCTATAATCACAGCAACTTGGGAGGCTGAGACAGGAGGATTGAAAGTTTGGGGCCAGCCTCAGCAACTTAGTGAGGCCTGTCTCAAAATAAAAAAAAATAAATAAAAAGGGATGGGTTTATAGATCAGTGGTAAAGTGATCCTGGGTTTCCCCTTTCATTTCTTGGCCATGTTGTGATGCCCAAATCTCTCAAGGGAATCTGAGCAGATACAAGTGCCATAGACTTGGACCTTCAGTGCTATGAGCTAAACAAACCTTTTAAAAATATAAAGTACCCAGTCTGAGGTATATTATTATAGATCAGGATTCTATCTCCCTGTTCCCTTCTGAAAATGCAGGAAGTACCACCTGTCATACAGACCAGTACAGTTTCCCAGGAGTATTTTTTGGGTACACTTTCCCAAGAAGGTGTTTTTTGAATCATCTTTCCCTGGGGCCAGATGACACGCCCTCATTAATTATCAGTAATTATCAGATTTCCCATCTGCCCTCAGATGGTCTATCCAGGTGCCCCTAGAAGAAGCTCCTCAGTAAGGATGGAGACTGAGCAGAGAAGGGGGCCAGAGAAGTCGAGGGACCAGTTGCAGGCTGGCTTCTCCTGCTTCCCCTCCTTGGACACAGCCTGCTTCTCTGTGGATTTCTTTGCCTAGATCCAGTGTCCCAAAATTCCAGCTTTCTCTCTTTCTTTATTCTGATGCTTTTCAGAAGAGATCATGCTTAGGGCCTCACTAAGGTGCTGAGGCTGGCTTTGAACTTGCGATCCTCCTGCCTCAGCCTCCTGGGCTGCTGGGATTACAAGCATGTGCCACCGTGCCCGGCTTATGAAAGGTTTTTGGAACCCACATAGACAAATATCAGCTTTCTCTTGGCCCTGGAGGTAAAAAATATCCATCCTTACCCACAGAGTGATCATGGGTGGGGCAAACACTCATAAGCCATTCATCCTTCCATGGCATAGCATGTCATTGGGAAGCGGCTGCCCAGCCAAGGACCATGCTTCTCAATCTCCTTGGCATTTGGGTTAAAATAGGTTCTTTTACTAATAGAGTACGAGCAAAAGTGATGAGCCTTCCTTCAGAGCCAAGGCAGTTTGGAGTGTATGCACCGTCTCTAATTTTCTTCCCATCTGCTGCTGAACGAAGAAGACTCCAAGGCCCCAGAGACTGGCAGAGTTACAACAGGAGAGAAAATGGAGTCCCTGAATCATCATGTGGAAGAAAGCCACCGGCTGATCAAAAGCCATCCTCACTGGATTATCACATGAGGGAGAAATAAACTTTCCTTTTGCTAAGCCCCTGAAATATCAGAGTTGATTTATTACATCAGCTAACAGTGCCCTGAAAATAAGTGAGACTAAGGCGTGTGGCTAGTTCGGTAAAAGGTGCTGACGATGATCGTGTGTGCGACAAATAACATACAGGCCGCAGGACTAGGGTGACACAAAGGGACGTGTACAATACTGTTGTCAATCAAGGTTGCCAGGCCCTTTGTGCATGTGTGCTTGTTCATATGTGCGCGCGCACACACACACACACACACACACACACAGACATGCACACGCATGCACACAGAGCTTCTGGATATATTCTAGAATCTCAATGTTAAACCTGGAAGCAATTGACTTCAGTGGTCCTCTGTTACTGTGATGGGACAGGAGAAGCGTTGACTCAAGTCCTCAGAGTTGATGACACTGTTGATGCTGGTGGCATCTGACTGGCCCCAGCATCCTCAGTGAGCAACTTCAGGTTCCTGGGCTGCTCCTTTCAGCCCCATTTGCTGTGGCTTACTTCCCTCTTGACAAAGCCTAGCATCTGGATAATCCAGAAAGGACTCCAAAAAAAGGCAAGGGACGGACACAAATGGATTTCATGATTTTGCATCTACCACTTAATCAGCTCAAAGGTTTTTATTCATTTTCAACTGGGTGGCATGAAAAAAATACTGAATGAGCCTTTTATCCAAGACCCTCTGTCTGTCTGCTTTTTTAATGCCATTGTCTTACAGATCCCATTGTCCCCTAGTTATTGCTTCTACATCAGGACTTGTGCTCCTGATGCAGCTTTTTCCGTGCCAGAAGTTTAAACTTAGGCAAAGGTTAAAAACCCTCAATCCAGAGAAAGAAGTTAGAGAAGAGCCTTCATCACCAACTCATGACCACTCCTGGGCCTAAAACTTTCTCAGACATACCCAGGGGCCACAGCCAGGACCCACCTGCCTTTCCTCCACCCCCAGCAGCTCTTGCCACTCTGTGACCACACCCTATTCTGTTTCAGCCTGTGCCTGTGAGCACGCTGTTCCTTTTGTGTCTGTCCCTCAATACCAAGCCCTCTCACAGGAGTGACTCACTATTTTTTCTTCCTTCAAGATCCTTCCTAAAGGTCACGCTCTCTGGGAGGCCTTTCCCGGCTCCTCTGGGCTGAGTTAGTCTTTCTTTCCAGTGTGTTCCCACAGGACTCCGGCTCAGCCCCTCTGACAGCCATTTCTCTTTTGTACCTTGGTGTTCCCGGGCTTCATAAGCTCTTTCCCATCCTGCAGCTTTTGGAAGGGGCCATCGGGATCCCCACCCTCCTTTCCTTACCTGAATCATTTGGACCAGGAATGGAAATCGGATGCACAACAGTCACTCCACAGGGGCCCGGGCCGCCACCGCAGCCTCCTACAAAGAGGTCTGCCTTCCGGAAATGGCCTTCTGGGAATGAGCTGTGTTCTCTTCATTGAGAATTTGGGCTCAGATGAGAAAAGGGGATGTTCCAGTTAGCAGTGGGAGTGAAGCTGGGAGTGAGGTCATGAAATGCCATCAGGGCTGGTGACTGTGCTGGACCCTGTGTCAGACAAGCAAACCAGGAAGCTCTTTGTGAGGCAGAGGAAAAGGAGGGGCCTAAAAAACAGGGAAACCAGGAGGGGAGAGACCTTGTAGTTTTTTTTTTTTTTTTGGGGGGGAGCGGTCAGTTGTCTGGGTTCCCGAGGGCTTTCAGGCCCCTGAGGCCTGCTGTGCTCCTGCTTTGAGTTCTACAGGATCCCCCTCCCTGGCCTTCCCAGGCCCTCCTCCATTTCTCTGAACTTATTGTAATGGGTTTCTGCTGTTGTTAACCCAAACAGCCTTTATTAAAAGGACCTTTGCTTCGCCCTCTAGACTGTGAGTTTCTGGTGGTCAGATCTCTTCCTCTTCTTTGCGTCACCAGAACCTATCTCAACGTGTGGAGGGCGTCCAAAGTGCTTTTGGTTGAATGAATGGTGAGTGCGTGAATGTGGAGTATGTGTGTCTTGGAAATCAATATGGGGCCCCGGTTTCCTAACTGGGATCTTCCCCCGCTGTGCCCTCCCCTCTATCCCCACAGCTCTCCGTCTGTATGTCCTCCAGCTTCTTAAAAGTCCAAGCTGTGACAGCTGGCATTTCCCTAAAATTTTTGTGCTTAAAAAAGTACATTGGCACCTGACTGTGACGGGAAATGACACTTTCACCTCACCTCGGTTGCACCCGCTTCAGAAGTAACCCAGGGTGATCCCTGGACCATTTGCTGAAGAAACACAGGGAGAAGCGAGCTATATGTAGAGATATAAGTAGAGCTTTTATTTCTTTTTTTTTTTTTTTTAAAACCAACCCAACATTTCCACTGGCAACTGTCAACATAGCTTATGACATGAGCACTGTTTCTTTTTCAGTTATTTTTTTTTCTTAAAAAAAGTGTTTAAAATTAAACAGGTGTTTTTTTTTTTTTAATTTATCCCTCCCCCTTTAGAAAATGTATTTATGTCAATGCAGAAAGCCTAAAGATCCGTGGGCAGTTCTGTGGTGATGTCTGTGTGTTCACTGGTGTGTGTGTGTGTGTGTTTGTAAAGCCAGGTCCTCTCAAAAGTCATCAGGAAAAGTTCCTTGGGGCATGTCCATCTCTTTTTTTCTACCCTCTCAGGCTCCACGGGATTAGAGAGACTGAGACTCTCTTAGGGGGGGCAAGAAATACCTCACAGGCTGGAAAAAAAGCTTCATGAGGTTTTCAAAACAAGCAGGAACATGGGAGAAATGAGGAATTCCAGTTCCCATCCTGTGCAAAAATTTTCAAATGTGGCTCGAGGGCCAGGAGAGGTGGAAGGAGCCCCTTGCTGTCTTATAACCCTCAAACTTGCATCACTTGAAGAAATTTAGGCAGCTCTCTATGTATGGCCCATTAGGAGGTGAGGGGCTGGTGTAGCCCACATTTCTCAGAAGGCTGACATTTTAAATATCGTCTTTTTCTTTAAAGATCTCATTGGGTCGGACACCTCTTCTCTCCTGCTTCAGATACAAAGTCAGAGATGTTCCAGAAGGCATGTGCCCCTTTTGTCTCCTCAGCTGCCCTTTGTCATTATGTACGGTTTCTATTTTTGTCCCATCACCCCCTCGGTGGATTTTCTTGCAGGAGGATCCACATACAGACACGGACACAGTGACATATAGAACCGGAGAGACGTGAACAGGGAAGAGGACAATTGCTTTTGGGTTTGGATTTGATTTCCACGCAAGCAAAGAAAGCTCCACCCGCTTTCCACGTGGGTGTGAGAGCTCATTTCCGCTCAAACGCCACCCAGTCCTCCAAACAACACGGAGGAAAAAAAAAAGAGATGGGAGACAGGACCTTGCTGGACCTCTGTGACCCTGTGAAAGTGGGAGGTGCGTTTCTGAAAATTCATGCCTCCATCTGTCGCCTTGGACCTGGGATTCTTTCACGGCACTTTGTCACTAACTTCAGAAAGAAGAGACAAAGACAAAACAACCAGCAAAGCCCGATGGGAGAAATGAAAACAACCACCCTAATGATTGGGATGAAAAGAGAACCCAGACCAGCCGCGTGGTTTGGTTCCTGTTCGCGCCTCACCAGCTGGATGGGAGAATCGTGACACATCCCAGTGGAGAGACAGGAGAAACCCTGTCCTCAAAGAAACTCGAGGCAAAGGAATAATCCGAAGGTGGACTAGAAGGACACAGGGTCTGCCCTTTGTTGGGTCAGGGACAGGAGTAGGAGTGAGAAGACAGAGGTGGATCTGTTGCTGTTGTTGGTTTGTATTTAATGAAATACTTTGGAAAGTGGGTGTCTCCTCCGTTCTATCTGATGAAGACTTGGCCCTTTCAGAGTGTGGCCAGGGCCTAGGTCAGGTGAGGTTCCTGGGGCTCGGCCCGGATGCTGCCTCCGCAGAGCTGCTCAGCCTGGGAAGGTCACTGTTGGGAAAGTGCCCTTCTCTTGGAAGAAAGTTCTTGGCCTGCCCTGCCGGAGGCCTGGTTCTGGCGCTCAGAACCCCTTGATGTAGCAGTAGGCCTCCAGTGTGGCAAAGAGTATGTAGAGGAGCCACAGGCTCACAAAGAGCCACGTCGTGGCCAGCTTGCAGCCGCGGGGGCCACCGAGCTCCCCACCCAGGTGGGGCCGCCGTCGGTACAAGAGCACACTGATGCAGACAAATGCAAAGATGGTGAAAAGGGTGACGGAGAAGGCCAGTGTGCCTGCGGACACGTGGAACTCCTGTCCCTGCAGGGCCCAGTAGATGGCGGCCACGGACCAGGCCAGGCCAATACCCAGGAAGACATTGACGGCGTTGCTGCCAGTAACGTTGCCGATGGAGGCGTCTGCGTACACATCCTGGAGGGCGGCGGCTTTGCTGGCAAATGTATCTGGAAAAGGACACAGACAAACGGGAGCTGGTGGGAGTCTGAGATGTGGAGGGCCTTTCTTCAAGTATGCCCCAGGGCACCCTGGCAGCAGGAGCTAAGGGGCCACGGCCAGTTCTGTCCCTTAATGAGCTGTGTGGCCTTGGGCAGGTCCCACTGCTGATTTGGGCTTCCTAGTCCTGAAAGATTACTAAGAGCCATCCAGTCCTGATATTCACCAAAAGGATTCATTGTTCTGTTTTGATTACTTTTTTCATTAAGGAGAGTTCGCCATTTTAGAATGTCTTCCCAGGGAACTTTGACATCCTGGGAAACTGCTTAACGTGGATGCCTGATTATAATTGTCTGAGCAATGCCTATAGGCTGGGGAGGGGGGTGGGCATTGATTTTCAGGCACCAAGGACAAGCAGGGTAAGCTGTGGACTCAAGGAAGACGGGGTTCTCTCTTTGCTGTTAGTATATGGATCACAAAGACTTGAAGGATATTTGCCTTTGGATCTTGGCACAGGTTGTAGGCCCAGGGAGGATCGCCAGGGACATCTAGCCCATTACTTTTATTTTGTAGGTAAGGAAAATAAGGGTCAAGGATCTACCCAAGGTCACAAAGGAAGTTAGCAAGAAACTTGACTTTCATGTAAGGTTCCTACCATTGACCTTCAACCAAAGAGCACCAGCCAGCTGTGAAATCAGATGTGGACCATAGCATCAACTTCCCAATGCTCCAAGTGCTGTTAGCTATTTTTTGGACCAATTGCCAGGACTTGGAAATACCTCAAGACACCTCCCTGGCTGGTTTCTCTGGACTTGCCTCAACATTGCCAGTTTTCTCAGATCTCCTGGAGAAAAACCTCTTGCCCTTTCTTGCCCGTGACCTTGCACTCAATCCTCTATTATTTATTCCCACATCTATTCTTTTCCCCATATCTGCTCTTTTTCCTCTGCTGGCTTGGGTCTCTCAATGCCTGGAGAACAGTGATCACAGGGCATCTCATATACTAAATCTTGCCTGTATCATCCATCTAATTTCTTCCTTTCTTCCTCCCTCCCTCCCTCCCTCTCCTCTTTCTTTCTTTCTTTCTTTCTTTCTTTCTTTCTTTCTTTCTTTCTTTCTTTCTTTCTTTCTCTCTCTCTCTCTCTCTCTCTCTCTCTCT